TGTCTCACCCATTCTCTAACCTCTCCAGAACATATGCAAAAGATGTAATGGGCAGATTGTATGGGAGTGGTGAAGGAAGGTACCACATTGGGGTAGAGTGTGTGGTGAGAACATGGGCCCCTTCCTAAAGCTCCAACTCCCCCTCCTACCCTGTGGGAACATAATGAAGGCCATCTGTAAGTGTGCTGTGGGACCTTGGTAGCCTAGCCAGCTTCTCAGTCAAGAAATGGCCAAAACGAAACTATTCTTGGATGTGAGCCAGGGTTGTAAATAGCTGTCTTTATGTCAAACAGCTTGTGTACAAGTATGACCACCCTGCATGCCCTTTACTGTTTTCTGTAGTCTATACAACCTTGTGCTGGGAGAGCCTGTGTTGTGGAGATCTCACCGGCAGGCTGCCCCCAACCCTCCACCCTACAAGCATGTAAATATTAATAAACTCGTATTTTTGCAGCCAGTCCTCCAGGTTATTTCTTTGGAGTTGGCAAGCAATACACTGAGGACTTCTCGGACCTCAGCTCTTTGCATTAACACCTTGGTATATATGGTAGTCTGGTCATTAGTATTTTCTCCTGTTTTACTCACCAACTTGTTTTCTACAAGATTCCTGATATAGCATTGCCAGGAATTCCCTAGCCTCCATATGCTAATTAACTTTACCCAGCTAACAAAGACTTGCCCTAAAGTTCAGTCCTCCATCTGCATTTTATGTTAAGCTCTGTGGGAAGATAATTTCATTATATAGGACTTCATTCAATAACACTCTCAAAATTCTCTTTCAGGTGGCCGGGTATTTGAATAAAAGTCTCTCAAGTGTAATATTCATCGTAGGGTAGAAAAAACTCACTGATGAAGAACCACCATATGTTCCAAATCAACTCCACAAAATCCCAAGGGCATGCAGTTCAAATTGGACACATCTTAAGGATGTCTGAAATGATTGCCTAAAGAGGAAAAAGGATTTTTTCATTAAAAAACTTCATAACCCTGATCAAGATAGATTTTATTGGGGACCTATGAGCATGCTTCAACACTTGTGTAACATACATCTTTTTATCAAATTTTGCGTATTTTCTCCTTTTTCATTCTAACCAAACAACTTCATCTGATTTAATTGGGAAAACCACCAGATAGGAACCTTTATTCTCCCCACTACTAAATTCTCAGATCTCCTTGTATTGACACCTATATTCTCCTGTTCAGAGAAGGTAACCCAGTTCCTATAAACACCTAACCGGGTCACCTATCAATAGCTTACCTTCTCTTGGCTTCTCAAATACTTTTTGCCATGAAGTTATCTTATTGGGTCATTACCATAGTCTATACAAATATATTCTATGGATTCCATCTTTAACAGCAAACCCAAGACAAAGAACCAAAAATCCTTTCCTTAACCTTACATCTGCCTCAAGCTGACCTACCTCTGGGCTTCCAACAAAACATTAGAAAAGTAGTCTGTCTACACTTGCTGTAACCTCATCCTACCTTTATGTTCACTTTTAAATTTAGTAAAATAATAAACATTTACTGAACATTTACTATGTGCTGAGTACTATTCTAAAATTTTAAAAATGTGAACTTAGTTCAACTCTATGATACACTGGAGATAAGGCAACTGAGGAAAATGTTACAAAACTTGCAGAAAGCCTTACAAATAGCAGCAGATAGGACCAGATTTCAAAACCAGGGAGGGTGATAGCAGAGCTATACTATTATCAATTTAACCTATGCTCCTCCAATCTGGCTTATGACCCCAAGAGTGCACCAAGCAGGCTTTTGTTCACAATGGCCTACATATTGCCAAATCCAAAGGATGCTGTGCTAACCTTATTCAGTTTTGTAGTAGCAACCAACAGAATGACTAACTTCATACACTTTACTGTCTTGGCTAAGGAATCACACCTGCCTTGTTAGGAGACTGGCGGCATTTTTCCACAAGACTTATGCTGGGTGCCAAGGCTCAAACCTAGACTTTCTTGTCTTCTCTATATCCTTTCCTGGAGTGATCATATCCTATTATGTTTTTAATACTATCTAAAGGTTTATGATTCCAAAGGTACCAAATTGTCCCCTCTGATTTCCACTGTGTCAAAAATAAAGCTTTTCAAACCTAATACACCTCAAACTAATTAATTCTATGTGTTTCGAAAGTGCTTCTCTATAGCCCAGAACATCTTAGCCAATTAACAAGGTTCAAAAAGTTGGCACAAGCCCTGGCTGGTATGGCTCAGTGGACTGAGCGCTGGCCTGCAAACCAAAGTATCGCCGGGTAAATTCCCAGCCAGGACACATGCCTGGGTTGCAGACCAAGCTCCCAGTAGGGGGCGCTCAAGAGGCAACCACACACTGATGTTTCTCTCCCTTTCTCCCTCCCTTCCCCTCTCTAAAAATAAAATCTTAAAAAAAAAAAAAAAATGCTGGCACAGTACTTAAAGCCTTCCTTTCATTTATCATACACCTCAAAGTTCTGTCAGCTCATTGCCATATAAGTCCCAGACTATTTATTTCTGTCTATCTCCAATATACCATCTCTGCTCCAACCTTTATCATCTTGCTTCAGTGATTATTTAGCCTGTAAAATGGTCACCCTGCCTCTACTCTTGTTTCTATTTCGACCTGCTCTACACAAAGCCTTAATGATCTTATCAAAATGTTTACCACATCACGGTCATTCAGAAAACTCACTGTACTAATAAAATCCAAGATTTGGACCCTACATCATGCATTACATGCCTGTATCAAACACACCCCACACTTTGCCCTTTCCTGTGCATTATACGAGATCTGTCCAGAAAAAGTCCAGCCATTGTTTATATAACAAGAATAGTTCATGAAACATGATGTAACCTGGTAGCCAAGGAGAGTGGACTGGACTGTGCATGTGTGAACAATGACTTCACTATACTAGGCAGTAGGAACAGAAGACACTGCTCAGTGAACATGTGTACTGTGTGGCTATGGCATTCAAAATGACTGAGTAGAGCAACGAATCTGTATGAGGCTTGAACATTCTTCCACAGAAACTATTCTTGTATTCAGAAGGCTACAGCTATGGGCAACTGGTAAATTGGCAGCTTCGTTATGACAATGCACTGTCTCACAGAGTTCATTAGCAAAACATCAAATCACCTAGGTGACTAATCCTCCCTCTAAGCCCAGATTTGACATGCTGCAACTTTTGGCTTTTCTCAAAACTAAAATCACCTTTGAAAGGGAAGAGATTTCAGTCGTTGAGATTCAGGAAAATATGACAGGGAAGCTGATGGCAATTGGGAGAACTGTGTGAGGTTCCAAGGTGCTTACTTTGAAGGGGACTGAGGCTTCATTGTCCTTTGTACAATGTTTCTTATATCTTTCACAATACAAGTCTGCATACTTTCTGGACAGACCTCATATTTTTTTAGGTTTTAAAGATTTTTTTAAAATTTAATCTTTTTCATTACCATTTAGTCCCCTTAAACCCCCCTGCCCCAAGTAATCACCACACTGTTGTCCATGACCATAAGTCCTCTTTCCTTTTTGTTCAGTCTCTGCACCCCTTAACTTCCCCCATACACTAGCTGTCATGCCAGGTTATTATTACCTTGTGTGACAAAAATCAACTTGTTATTCACTAGTAATTAGTAAAATTACAAAGCCATGCTTTTTAAAAAAAAAAACAGCTTATGTTGGTTCATAGTATTTTAAACACAAAAGACCTTAAATGTGAAATATGTATGGAGTCATGTAAAGAAAGCAAAAGTATAGTACTGTTTACATAACAGACACAACTCTGAAGATTATGCCTTGCATTAAGACATTTGAGAGATTTCACTGGGCTTGGGTAAGAATAAACGAGGCAGTTTTGGGTCCCTCACATGGAATGGATACTATATAAGGCAGCTAGTACTACACATCCAGATAACATGGAATTAACCAAGGCTGACAACTTAAAAGATGTCTAACATTCAGGTCACTTATACCTACATTCTATCAATTGAGATGGAGTAAGATAAATGTACTCGGAGATCTGCCTCCCAACTTGCTGAGTGAAATGATTCTGAATTTTGGATTCAACTTTCCTCTATGAGCGAACAGAGTCTTGCTGGGCAGGGGAGGGGGGCTCTAAGCCATGGCCCATAAATACATATTAGAAGTATTCCTTGATTTTGTCTTCAGTCACACAATTTATTGTTGCCTCCAAAGTTGCACAAACACAAGAGCAGAGTTCAGAGCTAAGTGAAGAGTAAGAGACATATCTTTGGCCTAAAATCTTTGTTTTACCTACCCTGGGTGATAAATGCAGACAATTTTTAAGTGGTGTACAAATACCTGGCATAATTTCTTAGTAAATTTAGTATATAACATCCTTTTTATAAAGGGGGTGAGGGACTCCATATTAGAAAGGAGTAAATTTCATTTAGATAACTAAGTATGTAATTAATTTTCATTCTTCCAAAAAGGCTAACAAAAGATACACAGTAATGCTGTGGCACTTAACAAGTTTAAAAGCTTTTTTAAAAAAAGTTTATTTACTTATTTTTAGAGAGTGGGGAGGGGAGAAAAAGAGAGGAAGGAAAACATTAATGTGTGAGAGAAACATTGATTGGTTGCGTCTCGTACCTGCCCCAACCAGGAACCAAACCTGCAACCTAGACACACGCTGTGGCTGTGAATCCAACCTGTGACCTTTTGCTTTGAGGAACAATGCCCAACCAACTGAGCCACATGGATCATGGCTTAAAAGCTTTTTAAAAAGCAGCTTTTGAAATCAACCTCAGTTGCTATAATGCTGATATTCACCATTATTCAAGAAAACTTTTAATGATGTATCAACGTACACTGTAAATACGGGCAAAGAAAAAAATCTTCAGGAAGGACTGGTGTACACAATATAATTCTGTTCAGGGTCTGGATCACTTGTCTCATACCCATCCCATTCCTACACCTGTAAAAGAAACAACTTAATGGGGGGAATTCTCTTCACAATGCATATGTATATGAAATCATGACATTGTACATTTTTCGTATCTTACAATTTTATTTGTCAATTACACCTCAATAAAGCGGGGGGGGGGAGAACCCAAAGGGGTGTGTTTGTCAAACCACTGGGAAGAATAAAATAGTCTATACGTTGTAAATGAGATCCAGGTATTAGCACTTAACTCAGATTGTGGACGTTGTGGGAAGCTGATTTTCTTTCTTAACATAAAACTACCAAAAACATTTATTAATGCATATCTGTTCCCATGGAAATTTACAGAAAGTTGACATTCCAGAAAGTTTATCTAAAACGACAAGTTATATAAAGTCTGTGTATCCGTAATTTAACTAAAAGTTCTCAAAATTTTGAGCTTAATATGCTGCAAAATGTTACAAATGTGTAGACCAACCATACAGTGTGCACCATACATGTTAAAAAAAAAACACACTTGGATTATGCTATCATTTTTAATTTTAATAAAATAGATAATTTCATACTACATAGAGAACAAGTCTACCCATTCCTCATTGATAAAATTTTAGAAATATCTTCCATAAAAAGTTTAGTATTTCGGAATAAATTCATTCAAACCTGATTTCTGTAAGTTGTGTTCCCATCCTCACCCCATTCTTACTAATTCAGAGAAAATTTAAAAATACAGAAAAGTACAAAAAATAAGACGATAGCCATATACCACAATCCAGAATTATCCAGTATTTTGAGATATATATTTACTTGCAGTCTGTTTTTAAGAGAAATGGATGTTTACATATAAAAATCAAGTCCCCTTTAACCAATCCCCAATCCACCCTCCACCCCCAACACTTCCCTTTTCAACTCTTCACAGGCAACCACTATCAAGAGTTTGGTCTGTATCCTTCCATTTCAAAAACATTTTAAAAACATACATACATATATGTATCTATTACCAATATATAGTACTGAACTTTGTGAGGCAAATTTTAATTCAAATATACAAAAATGTCATGGTATTAGATGTGTCATTCTGCAACTTCATTCCCTCCCTCTACATTTTTGATATCTTTCTCTGTAATACATGTAGATCTCATTAGTTACATTTATAGATATGTATCCCATCATTCACTACTTTCTACTTTATTCCTCAGGGGCATTTAAGTTGTTTCCAATTTATGGCTACTACAGATTCTGCCACAGTAAATAGCCTGGTACATATTTCCTGAGCAAACAAACTCAGAGTAGAAATGCTAGATATTTTTCAACTCATTATAAGGAATGTTTCCCTTCTCCCAAGGTCATAATCATTTTAGTATATAGCTTTTCCATATTCCTGTTTTAGTGCGTGCATAGTTCATGGTCTACTTTTCTCGAACAAATTATCTCCAAATCTTTTTTTAAACAGTCTCATTATCTTCTCACCTCCTGATGCCATTTCTATCCTATTCTAAATTCTAATAAATGCATAGGTTATTTCCAGAATCTCTTTTGTGTGGCTAAAACAATGCCATAAATGTAATTTCAATACTTACAACTTAATATTCTTATTACATTAGTGAAGATCTCCAGATCTATGCAGAGAGTAGTAACAAGCATGTTTCCCATTTAGTGAAAATGCATCTAAAGTTTCAGCATTACCTTTGCTGTAGGTTATTTTGCTGGGCACAGGATTTAATTCAAATGTCCTTCTCTTCAGCATGAATTCTCTGGTGTCCCAAAAGTTTTTAGCTTTTTCCCCCCCCTCATTTGTGATGTTTTCCTTCAGAATGATTATTTCTGATATGCTATGAGATATGAATGCTTTCCAATTTTAAAGATATTCAGTGTTTTTAATGAGCATGAATTTTCTGGTGTCTAATGTGATGTGACTTCTGGCTGAAAGCTTTCCCACATTCACTACATTGGTAAGGTTTCTTACCTGTGTGTATTCTCAAATGAAGAGCAAGGGTTGAGAATTGAGAGAAAGCTTTCCCGCATTCATTACATCCATAGGGCTTCTCACCTGTATGGCTTCTTGCATGCACAGTGAGAGATGAGCTTTGAGAGAAGGCTTTCCCACATACATTGCATTCATAAGGCTTATCACCTGAATGAATTCTCACATGTACAATAAGTGATGTTCGCTGAGAGAAGGCTTTTCCACATTCATTACATTCATAGGGTTTCTCTCCAGTGTGAATGTTTTGATGTTTTATGAGGTATTTCTTCTGGCCAAAAGCTGTTCCACATTCACTGCATTTAAAGGGTTTCTCTCCAATATGAATTTTCTCATGCTCAGTAAGGTTTGATTTGCCACTGAAGGTTTTCCCACACTCCTTACATACAAAGGGCTTCTCTCCTGTATGAGTTCTCTGGTGTCTAATGAGGTTTGACTTCTGAATGAAAGCTTTCCCACAGTCTTTACACTCAAAAGGTTTCTCTCCAGTGTGAATTTTCTGATGGGTGAGAAGGTTTTCTTTCTGGCTGAAGGATTTTCCACATTCATTACATTCAAAAAGCTTCTCCCCGGTATGAGTATTCTGATGTTTAATGACATACTGCTTTTGGCTGAAGGCTTTTCCACATTCGTTACATTCAAAAGGTTTCTCTCTATTATGAAAATGCTCATGCTCCGTGAGATTTGATTTGTGGCTGAAGACTTTCCCGCATACCTTACAGGCAAAGGGGTTTTCCCCACTACAAATTCTCTGTTGACTGAGGCGTGACATCTGAATGGAAGCTTTCCCACATTCACAAGGTTTCTCTCCAGTATGAAATTTTTGGTAAATGATTTACTTTTGGATGAAGGTGTTTCTGCATTTCTTACATTTGTAGGGCTTCTCTGGGTATGACCTTTCCAATGTAAAGGAAGAGATAGGTTTGAGAGAAAACTTTATCATACCACGTTCAGAACTTTTTCTCCAAGTACGTATTTTCTAGAACTCAATGAAGTTTTCTTACATTCATTGGTTTTTCTCCAGAATGAATTTTCTTCTGCTCAATGAGATATGTCATGTAGCTAAAGGCTTTTCAATATTCCTAAGAAGCAAAGGGTTTCTCTCCAGCCTGACGTCTACATTTCATAAGGTATGACACATGAGTGCAAGTATTCCCACATTCAGTAACTTCATAGGGTATGAATATTCTGACATCAGATGGAATTCAAACTTTTTAAACTGAAGGCATTTCCACACTGATTTACACTTAAAAAAGGTTATTTACCATAAGGAATAACCTGTAACAGGATTTCCAAATTAATACAATTGATGATTCGTTCCTATACAACATCCCTCATGACTAAGCCTAAATTGTATTTCAAACTCTTTTGAGGTTAAGTTGAAAAGGCTGTTGTTTAAAAAACATACAGCTGGAGAACAGATGAAGTATTTTTCCAATTTTCTTAAATTCACTGCTTTCCCCCCTCAGTCTGTGTACTTTACTGAAGATAGATGCAACTTGCCTCCCAAGTCTTGTCTCTCTATCTGCTCATCATCTTCTCAGGCGTCTTCTAAATTGGAGTAAAAAGAATACATTAAAGGAGTTAATGTGCAAAGTTCTGAGAACTGTGGCTGGCACATGATAAGCACTCAATAAACGTTAGCTTTATATTATCATCATTATTCACGAATTTCCAATTACTAGCAATAAAATTTCTATTTTGTGCTTTTTGGGACCAACTCTGCTAGTTCATTGCATAATATTAATGAAGACTAATGACCAATGTCTCCAATCTAAATTTTGAGAAGAAACCCCTTGTGAAGGTTATCAAGGTGGAAAATTAACATTCATCAGTCCACAAAGCTTAGATTACTTTTGAAAAATAACCTTTCTCATTTCATAATTAAGCAATGAACATAACAATGAGGAATTAATAAATAAGATAAATAGATGACCACATAGGGAGAATCAAGATGGCAGAGAAGTGAGTGGAAGTCCCACTGACCTGCTCCCAGGACCAGCTTGGAATTATAACTAAATTGTGGAGCAATCACCTGGAACAAACAACTGAACAACAGAGAGAGAGGAGCCTTGTAACTTTGGAGACAGAAGAATCGGCTTTAGCGCAATCTAACTGGTAAGGAGTGCAGTACAGACCTGAGAAGGCAGGTGGGGCGCCCACGGGTGGCAGCACCAGAAGGATATTGAACTGACCAGTTGGATCCCCCAGAGAAGAGTAGGGTCTAAACCAAAAGTGGGGATCTCTAGCCCACAGCAACAGAGCCCAAAAAGTACACAGAAAACTGCCAGGTAAGAAAAGTAGTAGCGTTGCTCTCTGCCAGAGACAGGTAGCTGGAGACGCAAAGAGCCTTCTATAGGGCCAACGCAAAATTTTTGTTTGCAGCCACTTACGCTGGTCTCTGGCAAAGGCGAGGGCAGACTGGGCTAGAGACACTTGATGAGACTGGGGAAGGAGGCTTTGGGGAGAGAACTGAGAGAGTAGCTGGCAGGATCTCAGTACTGACTCATCCCCCACACGGCAGCAGCGATCTTGCTCAGGAAGAGACTACTCCCCCTGAGCGGCGACAGCAGCAGGGGACCCCATAGCCCTGCCCGCAGGTGTGATTCCACCCCACCCTGTGCTGTCTAAGCTGCCTACTGAGTGCAAAGTGGCAGCCACAGTCAGTAGATCCCTGGCTAAAGGGGACAGATTGGTCTAGAGACACTTGAGGAGAGACTGGGGATGGAGGCTTTGGGGAGAGAACGGAGAGAGTAGCTGGCGGGATCACAGTGCAGACTTCTCCTCCATACAGCAGCAGCTTGAAAGGACCCAATAATCCCATTCCCAGGAGGGACTTTGCCCCGCCCTGAACTGTCTAATGAGCCCTGCTGAGTGCAGAGTGACTAGATGAACAGCTGAAGGAGACAGCCACAGACAGCAGATTCCTGGGAGTCTCGAACAGACTGCCTAAGGTCAGACAAGGTCAACATCTGACATCATCAGAGGCAGATCCAGAAAGTAAAAACAGCAGTCTCCTACAATAGAAGTTCACACCACAAAGTCAGGAAATCATGACAGATCAACTTAAGAAACAGAAGCAAAAGAGAAGAGTCTCACAAATAATGGGAAGACAAAGAAATATGCCCCACTTGAAGGGAAAGGAGGAATCCCCACAAAGAGAACTAAATGAAATAGAGGCAAGTACACTATCAGATATTGAGTTCTAAACAATGGTTCCAAGGAAGCTCAGCGAGCTCAGAGAGAATTACAAAAAACTACAAGGAAACTACGAGAAACTTACTGCAAACTATATTAGTATGAAAAAGGACATAGAAACTATCAATAAGAGACAAGAGGAAAAGAACACAATTTCTGAATTGAAGCACACAGTAGAAGGAATCAAAAGCAGGCTAGATGAAGCTGAGGACCGAATCAGTGAACTGGAGGACAAGGTAGAGAAAAGGTCCCAGAAAGAGCAAGAAAATGAAAAAGACTCAAAAAGAATGAAGAAGAGTTTAGGGAAATGCAGGACAACCTCAAACATAATAATATCCGTATAACAGGGATACCAGGAGAAAAGGAGGAAGAAGGGATAGAGAACCTGTTTGAAAAAGTCATGATGGGAAACTTCCCTAATTTGAGGAGAGAAAAAGGCACAAAAGTCCAGGAAGCACACAGCGTCCCATGCAAGAAGAACCCAATGAGGCCCACTCCAAGACACATCATCATTCCAATGGCAAATAGCAAAGACAAACAGTGAATCCTAAAGCAAGCAAGAGAGAAAGAGGTAGTAACATATAAGGGAGCCCCCATACTGCTAGCATCTGACTTCTCAACAGAAACACTGCAAGCCAGAGGGAATGGCAAGAAATATTCCAAGCCATGAAAAGCAAAGGCCTGCAACCAAGACTGCTCTACCCAGCAAGGCTCTCACTTAAAATGGAAGGCAAAGTAATGAGTCTCCCAGACAAAAGAAGGCTAAAAGAATACACCTCCACCAAACCAGCATTGCAAAATATGCTAAAGGGACTGCTTTAAGATGACGAAAAAGTTTCTATGAATATCCTGTTCCCTTCAGAGTTGCCAATACCTGATATTACCAATATTTTTAATACTCATTAATCTGATTGTAACATGATGTTATTTTAATTGTTCCTTTACTGTTTGTTGAAACTAAAGCTGTTTCAGTTTATTTCTTGCCTATTTCTATTTTTTTTTAAAGAAAGCTTTAAATGACTTTTTGGTATTCTTTATCCATTTATTGATTAAAGGTTTGTAGAACTTTTTCCCCTTAAAAAAAGAACAAGAACAAGAAAGAAAAAACCTATTAACCATGTTTTAGATGTGTTGTAAATACTTTTCTATTCCTTGTCCTTTAACTTTTTTATATGTATATTACTTTATTGTTAAATGTTTAATAGTCATATTGTCAAAAGAGAGAGACATAGGGAACTCCTTTTTGCAACAACATGGATGGAAGTGGAGAATATTAAGCTAAGTGAAATAAGCCAGTTGATGAAAGACGATTACCATATAATCTCACCTATAAGTGGTCTCTATTCAACAAAATAAACTAATGAACAAATAAACCATAGGCACGGAAACATGGAGCAGACTGAAAGTGACCAGAGGGGATGGGGAAAGAGGACAAAGGTGGAAAGAAGGGGAAGGGACTAGACAAAGAACATGTATGAATGACCCATGGACATGGACTAACAGAGTGGGAAGGGACTGTGACGGGGGATGGGAGTGGGATGGGTAGAGGGGGGTAAAGAGGGAAAAACTGAGACAACTGCAACAGAATTGACATGATCGATAAATAAAATTTTAAAAAAGATCACATAAAAGTGAGAAAGTCTGCCTGTGATAGCTGAGAAAGGGAGAGGAATAACTATTGCTTCCTCCCTAAACTTCATTAAGTGACAAAAGGGAAAATGGCCCAAACTCACATGGAAAAGAAATAATATTATGATAGGAGACATCAATATACACAGATATTAATAAATTTTTTGATAACATAAAGCAAATGGAAGATTTTAAACACACAGAAGAGCTGAGGAAGTTCAAATAACATAAAGGTACTGAGGAAGAGGATTGGTTGCCAAGGTCAACCAAGACAATTTATGCCATAAATTAGCAAAAAGACTCAGAAAATGGAGGGAAATCAAATACCTCAGAACAAAGAAAAAAGGATGGTGGTTGAAAAAGAAAAAAAATATACTGTATAAGGTGCAGTTGGACCTCTACTCACCCAGTGAGGAGGACAAAAGACCATCCCTTTATATGAAATGAATGTTACACTTTGCAGAAATTTAATCAGAAAAGCTTGGGACACCCAGCAAATGAGATGTCAAGAGAGAGATGCTATGCGAAATCAATGTAATCAAATCTGTATACTATATGCTGAGACCTTCAGCATCATTCTGCAGCTGAGGCAAGAAAAAATAAATAATAATAAAAGGTTGGCAACCAGGTATATATACCTGTGAGCAGAATATAGAAGGATCTTTCTCTGGACAAACTAAAAGGCTAGGAAAAACTTCAGAAGGATATCCCTCCAAGGTAATCCTTGCTGCTTATATTCTTTCTTTTACCAAAACAAAGGCCTTGGCCACACCTAAGTCTGTGAGAGTAAAGCAGTATAATCCTTCTGCAAGAAGGACAGCGTGGGTCCATGAGGCATTTTACTTTTCATCCAGTGAAGCCTAACAGCTAACTAGAAGCACCCAGGCACAAGAGCTTACCTTTTAGCGAATTATTCTTTAATGTGACTGTGCGACCAACATTCTACGCACTTGAGGAATACCAGTAACATGAAAGATCAACATCAAAAGAAAAAAACTCTAAGGAAATAAAAGTAACACAAAGCAAACAACAGAACCCTAAAACCAATCATAGACAGTTATGAAAAAATAATTTATCAGTAAAACAAATACAGAATTTTGTAAGCAAGAAACAGAAAGAAAAAATTCCCTTAGAAATTAAGACCAAAGGGAAGGGAGAAAGGTGAAGTAGGCCTTATTACCATTTATCAATAACAGCGCCTCCCTACTGCAGAAAGGTCACTCTGTTTCACTTAGGAAAATCAGGCATGGTCAGGAACCTTGTTTGGCCAATGAAATATAAGCACAAGTGGCAAATAGTATTTCCTGATTGAAGCTTTAAAAAGACAAATTCAGTGGATAAACCAAGGTAATATGTATAACTGGTAAGTAAATTACTGTAATAATGGTGATGAAAGCCATAAGGTAAGAGCTATAAGGAGAATACAACCAGCCCAGATCAGAGGAGTACAAAAATTCTAGGAGTAGTATCTCCAAGGGAAAAAAAATGGAAAGAGATTTCCCAATGCATTTAATAATGTGGTAATAGTACTGAGAGGGCTTTTAACTATTCTGAGGCAAGTCCAAAAGAGTCTGCGCTAAATATAGAAAACCAAACAAAGTGTGGCAAAAATAAATTCCATGAAAAGCAAGTATTTTATATATATATATAAATAATTTATACACATATACTTTTGTCATACTCCAAAGAGTGATAGTTGTCTCACCTCAGCAAATCACTTAAGTTGTAAGCTAAGCTCGCCACTTTTTTCATGGGCACCATTAATCTGCTTTAAGTAAATTAATAAATGACTATGTTAAAAACCATGGTTATTCAGACTTCAATATGGTTTGGCAGGTACTTTCTTCAGACAGAATACAATCCTTCCTTCAAAGGGAAAAACTGACAGTACATGTTGCTGATGATAAAATTTAAGTTTTCAAGAAAATTAGTTTTTGTAAATTGGTATCCTCCACAAGATCGATAGCTTCCAAATTCTTGAAAAACTTTTCTAATGAGATTGAAGATGATGTTAACAAAATATGATGTTCTGATGTTGCATGATGAGATACGTCAACATCTGAAAAATCTGCATAATTCAATTGGCCAATGCGTAATGTTACAAAATCATGCATGGGTTAAGAGATCCATCTGAAGTTTAAGACAGATCAAAGGTTTAAGACATGGGTTTCATGTCTAAAAAATTTTGATATAGCTTCAAATTTCACATTGAGGTTAATCCTGAAAAAATTACCACTTGTCAAGTATTAGTGGAATACCAAAAAATATCCACAATTATCTGAAAAAGCTATAACTATACAGTTTACAAGAAACTGTAAAATCACAATTTTAAAAGACTACTTCAACTAAAACAGGTTACAATAGCAGATATGAGATTCCAGCTGTCTTTTATTAAGCCTGACAGTAAAGATATTTACAAATGTGCAAAACAGTATCACTTTTCTCACCACTCTTTTTTATTTTGAACAATGATTATTTTTATTAAGAAATGTAATATTAGTTTACATGTACTGGGATATTTGTGGTATTTTTAAATAAATTAATGTTTTTTAAATTTTCTCAATTTTACTTTTAAATAAGGGGAATTATCACTAATTCCATATAAACCAAAGAAAGATCGGGGGGGGGGGTCCTCAAATTTTAAGAATATAAAGAATGTAATAAAAATCTTCTAAAATTTGATAATGGTGATGGCTACACAACTCTGTGAATTGAACATACTAAAAACAACTGAATAGTACTCCCTAAAAGATATATTTTGTTATTTAGAAAAATCTTAGAAAGAATGTAAAGAGACCACAAAGTTTGGGAACTACTGCTCAAAACAATTCTCATTATTCTCTCCTTGATATCTGGCTGGCACAGTTCTAAGCTCTAGGAATAAACAGTATTAAATAAAACTGACAAAATTCTCTGTCCTCATAAAGTTTACATTCTATTTTGACACAGTGATTCCACTCTGAGATTATACTCTAAGAATCCTGAAACACCAAAAGAACCTATGCACGCCTATGTTCACAGAAGCATTATTTACAATAGCCAAGTGCTGGAAACAGCGTATATGCCCATCATTAAATGAGCAGACCAAAAAACTGTGGTACATTTACAAAATGGAATACTACACAGCAGAAAGAGGGAACTCCTACCTTTCACCATAGCATGGGTGGAACTGGAGATCATTATGCTAAGTGAAATAAGCCAGGTGATGAATGACAAATACCATATGATCTCACCTATAAGAGGAACCTAATGAACAAAACAAACGAAGGAGAAAAATAGAAACAGAGACATGGAAACAAGGAACAGACTGACAGTGACCAGAGGGATGTGAGGAGGGGAAGAATGGGGGCAGGGGAGTAAGGGTCTAGTCAAGGAACATGTAGAAAGGACCCATGAAGCATGGACAACATAGTGGGGACTGACTGTGGGAGCATGGGTGGGAGGGGCAGTGGTGAGCAATGGGGAAAAATGAGACAACTGTAACTGTAGCCTTCCTTTTAAAAGGTTATAATATAAACTCCAGATATCAAAATATAAACATATATGATATTGTTTACTAAGGCCGTCTGAATTTCTGTGGACAGTGTTAAGTAGCATGGACAATAAGAGAGATCAATAAAAGAGGAAGTACCAGTTTTAAATAATGCAGAACCTGAATAGCTAGAACATTTCATAATCAAAGACCTAGATTCAAAGAATTTTATAAAGAGAAGGAAATATGGTTACATTTATATTTATATGGTTACTATGTCTTTTCTTGATTAGACTGAAGTTTATCTTTTTACCTCTTGACTGACCATATCACAAGGACCATAAGGAAAAGAAACAACCCAGACGTAATATAAAACTGGTTTGAAGTGATCTCTGGACATGAAACTAATAAGCTAAAATCACTCATCTTTGTATGATATTAATGATTTCACTGTCTGACACAATGAGAATGAAGTTTATCTAGCTGTTTATTCTGTAAACAGGAAAAATTATGATGGGCCAGACAAAAACAGAGTGCCAAAAACAAAAATTGATATTATAAAAAGAATTACTTCTAACTTCAGAATGGGTGACTCCTTTCTGGGAATTAATTTATACAGGGAAAAAGGAAAAGTAGAATGCAGTGCTCTAGGAGCCACCTCCAACAAGTTAAGGGAAAAAAAGGAAAAGATGGAGTAAGAGAAAGATAAAGCAACATCTCAGATCATCAAAACACCAATCAAGCATAAAGTAGGAAAAAATTTCTAGAGGAGTAACTCAAATATCATATAATACTTTTTAATACAATGGTAAAATAAAGACACCTCTGCCCACTTTTCATACCTGCAAAGAAACAAGAAACAGAAAAATAAAGAAAAAGGAAAACATCATTGTTGTTATAATCCTAATGTCTTATGAGAAAGGTTGTAAGTGGGCAGATGCCACTGCTATTTTTAGAAAGAGCCCTCATGCACCATGCTCTCCAAAAACATGGCACAGCCTCAAGTGCCATATAAATCTCTTATTTTTAACAACAGAATCCAGAATGCCAGGTGAATATAGGAGACATGGTGGGCCTTCTGGCATCCCTGAATAGTAGGAAGAGTAGAACTGGACAGGGAAATGCAGACACACAATCATTTTACAAAGTAGCTTGCGAGTGTAACAATACAGAAAAGGTCACAACTTTCCATCTCCCTAAATTCCTAACTTGTATACTCAACTGCCTACCTAAGTACTTAGATGATCAGTAGATGTCACAATTAACAAATCCAAAAGAAAACTCTTGATCTATCTCCAAAATTACCAAAGTCCTCCTACTTCCATACATGATAACTCATAACTCGTTCTCTTTTAAAATTTTGGAGTCATCAATCTATCAGCCAATCCTGTCAGCTATTACTTTAATGTATCTTAAAAATCTGACTTGTCACTAGTTCAACTACAACTATTTTCTTACCTATATTACTACAATAGTCTCCAATTACTCTTAGCCTCACTCCCCACATACATTATTTTCTATACAGCAGCCAAAATGTAATTCTGACCTTATCACTCTTCTGCTCCAAACCCTTTGATGGTTTCCCAAATCGCTCAGAACAAAGGCCAAAGTCTATGATTTGGCCTGTTATCTAACCAAATCTACTTTTATTAACCTTGACCCAACATTTCCACTTAGAATAAATTATTATGTAGTTTTGTATCTGCTCTGCAGAGCTATGAAAAAGTATATGCACTTATGCCTTCAATAGCATAAGCCTGAAACAACCTAAATGGCCATTAATAGGAGACAGGTTGTTGACAGAGAAACTCTTCACACCAACCCCACCCCTAAAACAAAACTATACACAATACATACTACCATTTATATAAAACACAGATCCTATTTGCTGCACAGGTACATAATATATGCTGCTTTATTCACAGACTACCTCAAGAATACATGTGAAACTCCTAAGTGCCTGCATCTTTGAAAAAGTATAGTACCAGAGCTCAGAGATTAGAAGAGACTTTTTATTTTTTGCCTTAACGTCCAAAAATTTTTTACGAGTTCATGTATTATATTTAAAAATATAGACTTACACATTCACATAATCCCACACACACAACAGAAAGGCAGAAATGATTCCTAAGGCAACAACTTTTCAAAGAGATATATGGGGACATACGGGAGAGGGGCCCCCATATACAGTTTGATGCTGTATAATGGAGGAGGTGGATGAGACAGTGATCCCAGAGGTGAAATATAATTCTGAAGCATTTAACCACTGAGAGAATGAGAGTGGTCAGGGTCGTGTGTGTGTGTGTGTGTGTGTGTGTACCCTAAATGTCAGAGAATATGTAAAGACTCAAAACCTATAAAAGACAACTCATGAGGAAAGAAATCTATACACACCGGGAGATATGAGACTGAAGGTATCAATAAAAGAGAGAACAATCACAGAGGCAGTATAAATGAAGTACGAAGTATGGACATTAAGATTAAAGATAATAGGGGAACCTGATTCTCTCGAATCTAATTAAAGAGGCAGAATACTGAAACAGAAAAAATGGGAACTGAAAATGTCCTTCTAGTGTCTAAAGAAGTCATACAAATTGATACCAAGACTAGGGTCTATAAGAAAACATACTTAAAAGCATTTCAGGTGCCAATGCTTACTGAACAGCTGTAACCTGTCTAGTTGTCATTCACTCACCTGGACAAATTTCCTTTCCACTTCTTTCTCCACCATCCAACTTGTCTTTTTGCTCCAACGGGGGATCACGTTCAGCTTGGTCAGTTTATAACCTGCTATTGGGGAAATGATACACCACTAGAATGTTAATGCTGGGGCCAAAATACCATTCTAGAACTCAATCTGAGCCCTGGGGTCTCAACTTTCTGAAGGATGAGGAAGGTGTAATTTCCAGGGATGCACAAGAATGGGGACCTGTGAAAAAGAACAAAGTAATGACCTTTTATCTTAACAATTAAAGTACAATGAGCAAAGGGACTAAGTCTATTTGAATCTTGAATTTCAAAGCCATACCATTTAAGCTTCCACACATTCTGAAATGGGTAAAAAAAAAAAAAAGAAAAGAAAAATGAAAAAAGAAAAAGAAAAAGAAACTTACTTTCAGAATTTTATTTGCATAGGAAAGATGTTCATACTTTACCTGACTAGTTGCTATAGCAACATACTCCTGCAGAGGTTCCTGAGTGGATTTTAACTATGGCTCTTATTCCTGGATGAATTCAATACTCACATCTATGACTGTAACATACGCCTATCAGAACTAAGCCACATGTACACAATGTGCAGGAAGTTGTTTTGATAGTATTCAGGAATTTGGGGAAAAAAAAAAAACTCAAAACATTTCCCTGGAATCCTACTATTTACTTTGTTTGCATTATACTATGAGTAAAACCACATATTAGATATGTCCTAAATATGTTCATCTATTCATTCAAAAACATTTTTAAGGTCATTATGAGGACAACTGACAAAATCTGAATATGGAATGGATTAACTGATAGTAATGTATCCATGTTAAATTTTCTGAGTTATGAAAAAGAAATGTCCTTGTTCTTAAAAAATTCATGCTAAACTATTTATAAAGGAAGCATGTATGCAACTTAGTCTCAAATTCTTCAGAAAAAAATTACACACATACTTAGAGAAAGAAGAAAAAAAATGTATGTGTATATATATATATATATACACACACACACACACACACACACACACACATACACATACTCCAAGAAAGAGAGAAGAAAAAATGAAGTGAAGAAACAAAATGTGAATGATCAGTGAACTTGGGTAAATGGTATATAGGACATCTTTGTGCTACTCTAATTTTTCTATAACGTTGACATCATATTTAAAAAGCAAAAATCTAAAAAAACTTGTTATTGCTTACATACACACTACACTACATTGAAAAGGCTTGGTCACCAATTTTTACTGGAGTATGGCAGGGATGGATGGCTTAGAGCCTTATTTAAACAGTGATATACGCAGAGAGGAACATGAGGTGAGTTGGCTGAAGACCAACTGTAAAAGGAAGAAGATTAAGTGTGATATTCTGGAAATTCAGAGTGTCAGGTTTCTGAGGAACTTACAAGCAGATATACCCATTTGTCATTTGTATATGTAGATTAGGAGTTCAGAATAGGCCTAGAATCATAATGGGAATTTATCAGGTGTCAGAATATCACTGCTGCTGGAGACACAGATGAAATGTTACTGTGACTACTTACAGAGAATATACACATTATGTGAAAAAGATGGTGAAGGACAGGGAGAATCCTAAGAACACCAACAATCAAGGAGGAAAGAAAAAATTTGACTGAAACACTGCGGCTGCTTGGTTTCGAGTCTTTCAATTACTTCTTCTTCAAAAACCAAACAAACTTCAAGAATAAACAGGGAGGAATAATACCAACCAGTCATTCCATAAACGATCTATTTAGTGAAACCAGTAGAATATATGTTAACTCCAAAATATATGTAAGGGTGACACAAAACACCCAAAATAACAGGTGCTACAGGAACCACAACAGCATGGTAGTTGTAGCAAGAATGGATAGAAAATGGTGAGAAGTCCTTAACAGTTTTCAGAAATAACTAGCAAATATTCATTCATCCTCAGAATGAGGCATTCACCCTGAGTGACGACTTATAGCCAACTCTAATAACAAAACTAGGGACAAAATAACCTCCTAAATTTCATGTACTGGTTTGCGACAAAAAGTCCACACGGTTCCCGTAAAATAAAAGACACATTTTTCATTTTCACCAGTACCTTTGTTGATTGGGGTATTTTGAGTATGTCAGCTCTCTCTCACATGGTATAACATTGACTGTTCTAAATTAATGTCTCAGTTTGATCACTGTCAACTTCAACTGGGCTACCCAACCATGGAGCATCATCCAGCAAGAAATCTCCAGCATGATACTTCACAAACCACTTTTGAAACGTTCGATCAGTCACAGCACCTTCTCCCTACACTGCACAAATCTTTTTTATTTTTGCATTTCAGGTATGTTTTTACCTTTCTTGAAATAAAGCATAATATGCCAAAAATGTGTATTTTCTTCCATCTTCAATATTAAAATGGCTACACAAAATTTCACCAATTTTGATAAATTATTTTTTTAAATGCACGCTGATATGACAGCTGTCACAATACAATCTAACAAAATTGTTCCGAATGAAGTTGAAGACAACTAAGCACTACTAGAACCATCTTACAGAAAAAACAAACAAACTTTCTGGCCAACCTCTGCCAAAGGCAGGCCCAAATAGGAGATCTAAACAAGGAGTTACAAAGAGCCTAGAAAATACTGGAAATGCTGAGGGGAACTCTAAGGACTTCAAAGTTCAAAAATCTGCAGATAACATTTCCTTATAGAACAAGTAGGCCTCACCCTACGAGGTTAACTGATGAAAGCAAACTAGATTAAACAGAAAAGGACTGAAGGGGGAAGCAGAAAGAGTAGGTTTAAAAAATATAATTTAGTCCTTATTTAACATCATCAATAGGCCCTGCAACTTAAAGCAAAACAATGTGTAATGAAACCATTTTAACCACAGTCTAATCGATATTAACAAGAGTTCAGCTCCTATGGAATCTCATCAACATTGTAACAAAAAAACACTGAAGGAAACACATTACTCCAGGACCCATTGTACTTAGGAGTGAGGCATCCCCAGATTTAGCAACTTCTAAATACATCACTCTAAAAAGACAAGTACTATGAAAAATTATGGGAAACAAAGAGGTAGACGTCAGCCTCAACCAAGTTAGGGTCATTGAGCAAGAGAAGATGTACAAGTCCCTTGCTTTAAAAACTAGAAGGCCTTAGCTGGGTGGCTAAGCTGGTTGGAGTGTCCTCCATGCACCAAAAGGTTGCAGGTTCAATTCCTGGTGAGGGCACATACCTGGGCTATGGGTTTGATCCCTGGGTGGGGCACACGTGGGAAGCAGCCAGTCAATGTTTCTCACATCAGATCTTTCTCACATCCGGTATCTATCTGTCTCTCTCTCTCCAAAATCAATAAACATACCCTCAGGTAAAGATTAAAAATAAATAAATAAAAACTAGAAAAGGCACATGGGCTTTGAACCATAATAAGATACTATGCCTCTGTTTTCCTGGTACTCATCTAGGAAAATCTATCTGATACAAACATGAGTAACACAAAAACAATTTGTCTTTGCCCAAGAAATGAAAGTATATAATAAACATTGAAAATGAACAGCATAATTTTCCAACAATTAAACTCATCTGAAAACTACTGATGCAAAGCAGGTAAAAAAATGAAACACAACATAACAAAATGAGCTTTTAAGAAAAGACAAAAACTTCAAGAAACAAGCAAAGCTATAAAAAGACTACAAAAGACAGAGGAACTGCATTTAAAAAAAGGAGGAAAAGGAAAGAAAACAGAATAGGAATGGACATCTTACTGGGCACCTTATTTTTTTTGTTTGATTTTTTTTTTTTTTTTTTTAAAGAATCACAGTTTGGAGGGATTTTTGTTTCTTTGATTAACATGATCTTTCCTGGTTGTTTTATCTCAGAAAGAGCAGTAGCCTCCACCTTAAAACTTTTTGATTCTACTCACATTCCCAGAGACCCACAGGCAGCATGAGTAATCTATGTATCTATACAGATAATTGTAATCTATCAGAACCACAAAAGCCATAATCTTATTTAATGCCAAAATACTGGAGTCATTTCCATTAAATTCTGAATTAAGATAGGATACCCACTGCCTCAATTATTATTTAATATGAACAATAGTTTGGTAAAGCAAGCAGAAAATAAAACTAATTTATAGACATCAACAAGCTCCCTATATATTACTCCACTGATAATAGCAACATAAAAGATAAAGTATCTGGAAACAAATTTAGTAAAAAGTGTCTAAAACCTATGTAAATAAAATCTGAAAACACTCCAGAGGACCAACAAGAAAACTGTACACATCATGTACATGGATAAAAGTATTTAACATAATAAAGATCTAATGTTCCTTTCCACTAAGTTATTTTTATAAGTTTAATGAAATACCAGTAAAAATAAGATTTATCTCCCTAGAATGACAAGCTGATTCTAAAGTTTAAATAGAGAAACAAGAAAGAATAGCTGGGAAACTCTGCAATAGACAAGCTGTAAGAGACTACTTACAGCAGATAATAAAACCGAAGTATAAAGCCAAAAATACAGACATAAGTATTGGGCCTTGGCCAGGCTTCTCAGGTGATTGGAACATTGTCCTGTGCATCAAAATGTTGAGAGTTCAATTCCTGGTCAGGGTACGTATCTAGGTTGCAGGTTCGATCACCCGCTGGGACATGTACAAGAAGCAACTGATAGATGTCTCTGTCTCTCTCCCGTCCTCTCTCTCTAAAATCAATAAACATTCTCAGGTGAGGGTATTTTAAAAAAAGACATAAATATTGGTACACAAATATAGACTGGAAGATGGAGAGTATGAACTCCAGAAATAAACTAACTACATATGAGAATTTAGTATATAATCAAAATGTAACCTTAAAATAATTACGACCTTAAATAAATGGTGTTGGAAAAAATGGGTAGCCAATTGGAAAAAGATAAATCTGTATACACACCTAATACTATATACCAGGATAAACTGTAACTGAATTAAAAATGTAGATATGAAAATGAAACCCTATAATAATTATAGTCTTGTAAGGATTTGAAAGTATAGCTGAATTGGAGTGGGAAAAGCATTCTATGACCATAAATGAAAAAAAATGACATACCTAACTACATAAAAACAAAAACCTCCAGACTCTGCACTGTTAAGAAATGACTACCATGAACGATATCAAAATACAAATTTACAACTTGAAGAAAAAAATCACAACTCATTTCACATACAGCTAAACTTTCTAATGTAACATTAACAGGTCCTAGAAGAAAAAGGCACCCACAGAGAAAAATAAGAAACAGGGTATGAACAAACAGTTCTCAGATAAACATATTTGACCCTTAAACATATGGGAGATACTCAGCTTCACTCATAATGAGGAACAGAAATTAAACCTAAAATGAAATACCAATTTTCATTTATGCCTTTGCCCTCCCCCCTCCAAAAATCAACTATTTAACCATATTCTGATGGTAAGGTTGTGGGAGAAGAGGTACTCTTGTACTTTGCTAATTGCTAACGAGAGTATTAAATACTTAGGGCAACAAGGGTAACTCCACTTGTACCAATATACTTGAGATGTTCCTGCATTAGGCATAAAATGACACAGATAAAAAAGAAATTGCCCTGACTGGTGTGGCTCAGTGGACTGAGTGCCCAACTGCAAACAAAAGGGTCACTGGTTTGATTCCCAGCCAGGGCGCATGCCAGGACTGCATGCCAGGACTGCAGGCCAGGTCCTCAGCAGGGGGTGCATAAGAGGCAACCACACAATGGTGTTTCTCTCCCTCACTTTCTCCTTCACTTCCCCCTCTCTAAAAATAAATAAATAAAACATTTTTTTTTAAAGAAATTATTCATTATTGCAGCTACTAACAGCAAAAGGTTGGAAATAACCCAAATGTTCAACAGAATGAACTATGGTACATGCACGCAATAACATTTATTCAGCAGTTCCAAAAAAAGAAAATGATGATGATTAAGAAAGGAGATCTCTAAGACATATTATTAAGTAAAGAAAGAGACGTGTATAGTATGCGACCTTTAATGTAAGGAGGGCAGGGGATTGGAGAGAAAACAAAATATACATTAGGGGCCCAACAAACAAATAATTCACTTGATAAACAAGAAATAAAACAAGAAAAAATACTTGAAGAATGTGATAGAGGAGGGGAACAGAATGAGACAAGATATCTCTGAAATATATTTTGGTAAATCAGAAATACATTACTTTCCTAATAATCAAATCTGTTTTAAAAAAAGCAGTCCCTGACCTTGAAAACAAATTGAAACAAATGAAACCAACTGTTACCTTGGTAACAAAGTTCCTCAAAGAAAGGATTTATCTCCAAATGACTTAAGAACAGAGAATTTGACTACACATCTTTAGTGGTATGCTTTCTAACCACAAAAATAGGTATAAGGAAATTTCTCATGCAATTCAGTGTGTTTATGTTTACTATTAATATCAGGGTTATTTTGAAACCTTTTTTTTATGTTGCAGGACAAAGTTAAGAAAATAAGTACTTTCACTAACTTGTTTCAGAATTTTTACTAGAAAATACAGCTAGAAGCTAATCATTAGGTAAAAATGCTGTACTATTTATAATGAATTAGAAATACTAGTATCAACTCATGGTTTTTAAAAATCCATTTCTTAGCTCTGTCACTGAAATGGCCTTGAAACAATGTTACTAGGTCTGCAGGAATGAAAACATCCAGTATCCAGATCTTGCTCTCTAACACCATTCTCCAGTAAAGAGCTTCTTGGAGACATGGCCATTTCCTTGTCTGTGAGGGAAAGGACAAGGTGGGCCTAGAGTGTAAAAGTCTCCAAGTTAAACCGTGGCGTGTCAAAGTGAAACAAGTCAGCTTGAGTGTCCCTGAGCTGAAACTGTGATGAGTGTCCCACAGAACACTAGCTGCAGTTATCAGATCACGACTTTAAAATGAAACAAAGTAGAAAAAGGGAGGAAAATTTTGAAACAATTTGAGGTGGCAAATAAGTTTCAAAGGAATGGAAAAAAATAGAAAATGATCACTTTGCAACCCCTGAAAACATTATTGATTAACCAAGAATTACTTATTGGTTTTAAAACAATCCATTGAATGATTGGTCATGAATAGACATTTGTATGGTGCCCAAGTAAAACCATACATACTACACTTTTGTCATAAAAGGAAAACTACAATCATTAACAGTAGCCAAGTCACACAGTATGTCTCTCCTGATATTATGCAACCTGAAGATCATCTCCCAAAAGTCACAATTAGGATTTTTAAAGAAATATCATCAGAAGTTCTGAATTAGAACCATGATAAAGTAACTATCATAAAAATCAAAGAACTTCATGAAGGCAGTGGTGATGAGTTTCTAAGAACAAAGAAAGCCAACTTCTTCATTCCAGTTATAAGAAGAAATGCCCCCCACCCAAAAGTGTTTAAAAATGGCAATAAGAAAAGAGCATCTTTCAGAAATTTCTACCAGAAACAGTACGAATTTTGTAAATAGTGCCAACAGTACCAACATTTATCCAGTACTTGCTACACACCAGGCACTATTCTACAGAATCTGGAACTCCATGATCTGCACAATCACCCTATAAATCAATCATTATTATTTTATCTATATTATCTATATTACTAGAAAAGAAACTGAGACACAAGGTTTAAGTGCCTAAGGTCACCGAGGCACAAGGTGGCAAAGGAAGGAGTCAACAGAGGCAGTCTGGCTCCATGGCCTATTTCCTCCTTTAAAAAAAAAACAAAAACAAACAAACAAAAAAAAACACACTAACTTTTGAATATATACTAAATTCATATAGTTAAAAAAACAACATAAAAATATATTTACCTTTGCCCAATATATCCCCATACCACTACCCTTAACAAAGATAGTCACTTTTCTTATTTCTCTCCCTTTTCTTACTCCAAATGAAGTATACCATACATTCTGCATCTTGCTTTTTTCTTTTATTTATGCAGTTATTTCAAATGTCAGTATATAGAAAGCTTCCTTTTCATTTTTTTGTACAGCTGCATATCATTCTGTTATATGGATTTACCACAATTTTATCCAACCAGTTTCTGAATTATAGGCAAGAATTGTTTCTTACTTTTTTTTATGACAAACACTAATGCAATGAGCAACCTCATACCAGTATCATTCCATGCAAATGTAGATACACTTGTAGGACTAATTTCCAGATATGAAATAGCTAGCTCAAAAAAAAAAAAATTTATTATAGATATTGCCAAATTCCCATTCCTAGGCCAGCTTCATTCTAATACTAATACTATTTTAATTTCCAAGGATTTATATTTTCAAATGTTACCAGTGGGCTCCCACTTCCACACACATTCTGCTTTCCTTTTCCAGGTTTACTGGCTATTCTAGCTCATCTATTTTTCCATCTGAAGTGCGGAATCAGTTTATCTAGTTCCAAAGGGAGAAAAACAGATACTTTTATTAGGATCACATTAAATTAATATTTGTTTGCACACACTTCTTTACATCTTTCTATTAAGAAACATGGTATATCCATTTGTTCACATCTTACATTACACTTAGTACCTTAAAATTCTTTTCTAATAGTTTTGACTCTTTAAGTTTATTCAATATTTATTTTCTATTGTTCTTGTAAATAGTGGTTTTCTTCTATTATGTCTCCTAACTGTTGCTGTTTGTTTAATTTGGAACCCAATAGTTTCAACTCTTACTACTAAAAATTATGTGAAGGATAATTGTGGGTGGATTCCTTACAAAAAGCATCTTCACAGAATTTTCTTCATTACTTCACACAATCTGAGAATACCTCAATTCAATCTGAGTTAGGACATCCAGAATCTAGTCCAGACTCTAAAATAAAGATTGCAACAGAACGGTTTTCTTCAAAGAACGAACCGTAACGCGTGGCTCCCTAATCGTGGGCTTTCTGCGCTGTATAACACTACTTCTTAAAGCATAACGCTGATATTTAGTCTAGGACTTAGTAGCAGCCCTATTTAAGTCCCCCCAAAGATCAGGGGATCTGAGACAGTCTGAAGCAGGATCCCTCAAAAAAAAAAAAGAAAAGAAAAAAAAAGAAAAAAGAAAATTCCTTTGAAACATTCTTGGTTTAAAAAGAAAAAGAAATCATGGTGATTTGCATTCTACCCCAAATAAAAAGAAACGCGATTTTATATAAAAATAATTTGCATTTTAAAATTATTTACAACTTAGCTTCTCCCCCCCCCACCCCATTTCAAATCTTTATGTAAAATTGATACTCCAGGAAGATGGCACCGTTATCAGCACTTTCGACAAGGGGAAGTGCGGCTCAAATGCTATTACCTCAATGCTGGTGTCCTACAGCTCCCTCTCAAACGCAGCCATACACAATCCTGCACCCAGTTTCTCACTCAATAACTTCAAACATCCGGTAAAACTAAGAGTCACACATGCTCCAGCCCTTCTTAGAGACCCCCAACCCCACCCCACACGTAGGCCAGAAGCTCTTAAATCCACGCCCCCTCCCCCGCACCACATTCCAAAAGATCTGGAATTCTCCCCTTCTACCTCCCGAACCCGACCGGACCAAGACGCCCACATCCTACCTCCTACTTTCGCGCCACGTGGACCCAGGGACCGACTGACCAGCGGACAAAGACCAAAATGTCCACTCGGTGTTCCGCGCCTGCGCATTCGGAGGGCTACTGAGCAATCCCACAAGTCTGCGCGACTCAGCACGCTTGGTCACCGCGGCCTAGCCCAGGGTGGTATCTGATTACCTTCTATTAACAGCAATGCTGTTTTTCCGGCCTTGGACTACATTTCCCTTAAGGCTTTGCTGGTCGACACTCCGTCTCTGTCTCTCTGAGGCGAACTTGGCTCTTCCTGTGATTATGGCGCCCTCGAAATGAGTAGCCCTGCCTTGGAGGAAGATCAGCTCAAGCTTGGTTAGAGGTTTCGAGTGGGCACTCCCTCTTTGAAGTCTCCCGAGAGCAGTGTCAAACGAGCCAAGCTCAAATTCCGAGGTCCGAGGACGCCATCTTATCTAGCTGGTCGGAATCTGGACTACGTTTCCCAGAGTCCACAGCGGCCCGACGTTACGTCTCTCAAAGTGGTGGCGAGATCGTTAGCTCCGCAAGAACCCGGACGCCTCTGAGCGGAGGCCGGAGGTGAGGGGTCTGGGAATCTCTGGCGGGAATGGGGCGTGTCCGGAGCTTGGGGTCTTTGCGCGCTGGCAGTAGCGGGCTGAGGGTGCCAGATTTTGAATGAGTCTTTGTGGCTGTGGTTGGGTGCCTGTGAGTGTGCGGTTGTGATCTGTCTCCAAGGTGTGTGTCTGGTTGTGTTTTTGTAACCACGTGCGATACTGTACTGGAGTGGGGTGGGGTGGGGGAGAAGGCTGGTGACTCGGGATAATACTGCTTGTGTCCCTGTTGTGTATGTAGGACCACACGCCTTGTCCTTGGAAGTGTGAATATAGTTGTAACTGTGTGATGGGCGTGGGTATCTGGGTTATGATTGCATGTATCCAAGGTGAATGTACGAGTGCGCGATGTGTGGTACCATGTGCCATTGTCGTGTGTCTGTGACTGTATAGTGACATTGCGTGTACACCCCAGTTGTATCCGTTGTATTGTGCGGGTGTGGTATGTCTTTGCCTGTGTGAGTGTAACTGTGTCTCCGGAGTGTGATGTTGAATTGTGACTGGTTAACATTGAGTTGGCCAGAGTGGAGAGCCAGCAGTTGTGTGTTTCTCCTAAGTAGGTATGTGATGTGTCTGTGCAGAGCATTTGTGAGTGTTGGTGTAGGGGTTCTGTGACTATATGAGAGAGATTTTGTGTGTCCTGGTGCTGAGACTTTGTGACTGTGCGTCTTTTTTGTAAGTGTGAGATTACAACTGTGTATAAGGATGTGGAGTTATGTATGATTAGTGCGATTGTGTCCTGTGTGTTCCGAGTGGGTGTGTGGTTGTGTTTCTGTGACACTGACCATTGTGCAGCATCAAGCGTGTGAGTGTGAGGAGTCTGTGACTCCAGTGCTCTAATCTCTGCAGTACCTGTGAAATTAGAACAGATTGTGGCCCTATACAGTGAGAACCTCAGCCTTAAACTGTAACACTGGGATTGGGCAGGGTGGCAGGTCTTCCCTGACCTCTCTCTCCTGTGTGGGAAGTAGGGAGATGACCCTTCAAAGGTGTCTTGGTGCCTCATTATTCCTTTTTCTTGACTTTTCTCCAAGAGATGTTCAGAGAAGGAAAGAATTGCTATTCAGCATTCAAAGGCCAAGTTCAAGGTGTATCAGGTTTTCTTCTAACTTCCCTGAAACCTTCTTGTTTTCCAAGATGTGCTTTTTTTTCCCCTTCATCTGAAACTTCTTGCCTAACACCGTCATCCCACCCCCTGCCAACATGACCTGGCTTCCAGTATGTGCCGTTGAATAAATTACTGGGTGCCCTGAAGGTGAACTGAAAAGCTCTCCCTGCTCCAGGCACACCGAATGTTCATTTTTAAAATTTTTTTTTAACTTTTCATTTTGAATTAGTTCTAGACTTAAAATTGTTTCAAAAAATAGAACCCCCATATACTCTTCACCCAGCTTCATTCACGGCATGTTAGCATCTTACATAATCACAGTACATGATCAAAACCAGATTAACAGCCATACACTATTAGTAACTAATCTATGAGCCTTATTAATACTTTTATAAATGTCTCTTAATGGCCTTTTTCTGGACAAGGATCCAATCCACAGTCATATGTTGCAGTTATTTGGTAAATCTCCTTAGTCTTTTTGATCTGGCACAGTTCCTCCGTCTTTCTTTGTCTTTCATGACCTTGACACTTGGAGAGAGCTGGCCATTTAACTTTTGCCATGTAGAATGTTCCTCAAATTGAGGTTGTCTGATGCTTCCTCATGATTAAATTCAGGTTATGCATTTGAGGCAAGAATATCCCAAAAATGATGTGTTTTCAGTGCACCCTATCAGGCAATCCATGAAGTCATGTTTCATTATTAATGTGTTAACTTCAGTCAGTTGACTACTGTGGTATCTCCACTATTTTTCCCATTATGATTAAAGTGTTTTATGGAGAAATATTTCATATAAAAATCCTGTTTCTCATTCTGATTTCACCTACTAATCTTAATCCATTGATAATTCTTGCCTGAAAATATTACCAGCTGTTTTTCTAATGGTGTCATTTTTGTTTGTTTCCATTGTTTCTTCTTTATTGATTAATTAGAATCCTGCTGTTAGAGATTTTCCTTCTCCCCCATTTACTTATTTACTAAATTATGTAAGTATAGACTGCATTTGTTGTTGTTCTATACGTTATAATCTACTATTTTGTTGCTCAGGTTGTCCCAAATTTGGGCTCTGGGCAAATTTGGGACAAAGTTGGCTCCTATGCCCTTTCAATGTGTTCTCTATTACTTTTTTTTTTTTTAGTACTTTCTTTTTTTCATGCACCACAAAATGTTCCAAGCTGTTCCAAGCTGTACTTTACCAGCCCCAGTCCTGAATCAGCAAATCTCCCAGGGAGCACTTGCTTTTTTTATTAGAAAATGATATTTAAAAATCAAGATTAGATGTCGTCATTGATACTGGGATCTCATTGCTTCTTGACCCTCTCAGCTATGAAATATGTATATATCTACACACACACCCCCGTATCTATCTGCATGTGTACTTATACAGATAATCCATGATTTCATATGATGTCTTCAGTTCTTCAACATCACAGGGGCTTATTTTTGCTGCCTCCATTTGCTTTTTTGTAACTCCTTTCCCTAACATTGAAAAACTTGATTCTAATTAACCACAATACATTTACTTGCTCAGTCCTAAGTAGAAAGTTTAAGAATTGCTAACCATATCCCCTCATACAGTTCTTTTTGTCTTTAGTCTTTTGAGTATGTGAAACATTAACATGTGTCTAAAAGTCAAAATCAAACAAAAAGATCTACTCAATCACTCCTCATCATTTCTTCTTCCCAGTCCCATTCCCCATTTTTGTACCCAGTCACTCATTGTAGGTAACCAATCTCATCAGTTTGTTAGGGGTTTTTATAGGTAAATATTCATAACACAAAATTGATCATTTTAACTTTTTAAGAAGCTGAGTGGCATTAAGAACATTTACCTTGTTGCGCAGCCGTCACCGCCATCCATCTCCAGAACTTCCATCTGCCAAAACTGAAACTCTATAGCCATTAAACAGTCACTCCCCATTGCCCCCTCCCTCCAACCCCTGGAAACCACCATTCTGCTCTTTATTAATTAGACTATTCTAGGGACTTCATGTAAGCGGAATCATACAGTATTTGTCCTTTTGTGACTGGCTTATTTGACCTAGATGTATCTTTAAGATTCATCATTGCTGTAGCATGTGTCAGAATCTCCTTTTTAAGTCTGAGTAATAATTCCATTGTACATATATACCATATTTTGTTTATCCATTCATTGTCAATGAACGCTTGGGTTGCTTCCATCTTTTGGCTCCTGTGAATAATACAGCTGAGAACATTAGTTCACAAATATCTGTTCAAGTCCCTGCTTTCAGTTCTTTTGGGTATATACCTGGAAGCAGAATTGCTGGATCCCATGGTAATTCTGTGTTTAATTTTTTCAGGAATCATACCATTTTCCACAGCTGCTGCACCATTTTATATTCCCACCAGTAATGCACAGGGTTTCATTTTCTCCACATCCTTGCCAACACTTACTTTCTGTTTTGTGTGTGTGTGTGTGTGTGTGTGTGTGTGTGTGTGTGTGTGTTTAAATAAGAGCCATCCTACTGAGTATGAAGTGGTATGTCATTGTGGTTTTGATTTGCATATATTGGGAATCCTTCCTCTTGCTTATTGACCATTTGATATCTTTGGAGAAATGTCCTTTGCCTATTTTTTAATCAGGTTATTTTTTGTTGTTGAGTTGTCAGAGTTCTTTCTCTATTCTGAATATCAATTCCTTACCAGATATATGATTTATAAATATTTCTTCCCATTCCATGAATTGTGTTTACACTCTGTTGATAGTGTCTTTTGAAACACAAACGTTTTTAATTTTGATTATGTCACAATGTACCTGTTTTTCCTTTGCCTGTGCTTTTGTCATATCCAAGAAATCATTGCTAAATACAATGTTACAAAGATATTTCTCTACTTCTAAGAGTTTCATAGTAGCGGGATGGCCAAAAGAGTTTGTTTAGTTTTTTTCTGATGGTGGCTCTAGTAATGCCTAATTGTCTTTAACTTCATTGGAAACAAATTTCATTCTGTTGCATTGTGAGAGGTGTCATATCAGTGTGCATTTAAAAAACACTTATCAAAATTGGTGAATTTTTGTGCAGCCATTTTAATATTGAAGATGGAAGAAAATACACATTTTCAGCGTATTATGCTTTATTTTTTCAAGATAGGTGAAAACACAACTAAAACTTAAAAAGATTCGTGTAGTGTATGAAGAAGGTGCTGTGACTAATTGAGCATGCCGAAAGTGGTTTGTGCCCTGGCTGGTGTGGTTCAGTGGATTGAGGGCTGGCCTGCAAACAAAAGGGTCGCAGGTTCAATTCCCAGGCAGGGCACATGCCTGGGCTGCAGGGGGCACATGAGAGGCAACCACGCATTGATGTTTCTCTCCCTCTCTTTCTCCCTCCCTTCCCCTCTCTAAAAAAATAAATAAAAATTTTTTTAAGTGGTTTGCAAAGTTTCTTGGTACTATTGATATTTTGACCAAATAATTATTTGCTGTGACGCTATCTTACACATTGGTAGTTTAGCATTACCCCGGCTTCTACCCACTAGAAGCCAATAGTGGGAGATAGCCGACATACTTAAAATATCCAAATCAATAAAATTATTGGTGAAAATGAAAAATGTGTCTTTATTTTATGGAAAAAAAATAAATGGACTTTTTGGCCAACACAATGTTTTTGGTTCCCATATTTGAAAATTATTTGCCAATATACAGGTGAGTTTATTTCTAGGCTCTCAATTCTATTTCATTAGTTAATGTGTCTGTTTTTCTGCCAGTACCATGCTGTTTTAATTATTACAGCTTTGTAGTATAATTTGAAGCCAAGGAGTGTGATACTTTTGGCTTTGTTCTTTTCTCCTCAAGATTGCTTTGGCTATTTGGGATCTTTTGCAAGTCCATACAAATTTGATTATT